CTCAGTGAACATTCACAGATTTTCTATTCACTGTTGACTTCATTTTTTCCGCTGATTCATTGCTTTCAGTTTGCAACGTTGCGATATCAGGATGCCTCGTGAACGCCGTCGTGTCTCATCTTCATCCTCCACTTCTTCAACAAGCTCAACAACTTCTTCAAGCTCCACTTCATCCTACTCCACTGTTGCAAGTGATCCGGAAATAACCAACAGCGATCCAGCAATTACTGCAGTCGAACCGAATTCTCCAAATACAGTTGAAGTCATCTTTCAACGAGCTACTACCGAGCATGCCAATAACAATCAGCAAACTCTGCCTGAAACACCTGTCAACGAGTCATCTCAACAGGAACAGTCCGTCACTAAGCCGGAACCACCACAGTTGGCTGATGCGCAAAATAACATCACCACCAGCAGTTCATCGTTGAAAGCTGGAATGGATACAGCATCAGCGATTGATGAACGTTGTTCATCTGAAACACATACGAAGGAAGAAAAAACCGAGGTTGTTCCACATATTTCGGATGAGAAATTTGAAGATAACGCGCAGAACGATGCGAAATGTACTCCACAAAAAGTAGCACCCAAAACCGAGCAACAACCATGCATGAATCCAGCTGCTATAACTGACATCCAGAATCAAAAATTGGAACCGGGCAAGCAAAACGATGAGAAGCGGGAAACGATTAGTTTGACAGATGTTACAGACACCGGCACATCATGTACGGATGTGGCAACTGCAAGCAACGCCAAACCGAATGATCAAGTACTTCAAGAATCAACCGAAAATCTTACCGAAACAACACGGTCTTCAGATGAATCAAGTCAGCAAGTTACAGAAGCTGATAAGAATGTAGAAACAATTGGAAACGAGCTCGCACCTGCAGATACAGAAACCTGTGAAGTGGAAAGTGTTAAGAATCAAGTTTCAGTAGATCCGAAGGAACCGGATGCAAGGAATATCGCCAGCGAAAGCGGAACAAAATCTCCAATAACAAACGTAGATCCAAATGGTAAAGTTGTGAGTGAGAGTACGCAAAAACAAG